TTGATTGGGAACAAAAATTTGTCATTGCTTTTGATTATTTTTAATTATCTTAATCATTTTTTCAAATATTCAAATGTTGTTGGGTAATACAAACAGATTGAGATGGTCAAGGTTATTTGCTTTTCTTATTGTTTCTATTTCAATCGATTCTCTGTTTTCTTCTTGATTTGTTTTATTCTTAAGCGTTATTGATCATTGTGAAATTTTCAATTTCGTCTTGGCGCCAAAATGGAAAAGAAATGCGCAAATATAAAAATGAAACACAAATCCAAGAATCCTAGACTTTAGAAAATCTTTGGTTTTTCACTTTTTGTTGTTGTTGTTGTTGTTGTTGTTAAAGACATCAAGATGCAATAAAGATTTTTTTTTTTATTTTAACTTTGTTGAATATTATCATATCTGGGAGTTAACACAATATCGAATGGAAAATAGTTAAATTGGTAACAACCCAAAAAACCATTACGAACAGAGATGAAATTCAACTGAAAGAATAAGTCCCACCGATCACATAGTGAAGAACAAAATAATGAAAATAAAAACCCGGCAACTTACAAAAAGAGCTAACCGAAAGACTTGCGCAGTTCATTTATTCATCACTGGCTGTAAAAAAAATGTAAAGTTTTTTTTTAGTTTGAAAATCGTTTCATTTGACTTGATCATCAACATTGTCATTTTGAAGTTTGTCGAGAGAGAAAGAACGAGAAAGAAAGAAACAAAATAATTTCCGACAAAAAAAAAAAAAAAAACAAGAGAAGAATTTTCCCGGGTTTCCTTTCTTCGTCTACACTACCATTCAACAAATCTATCCAACGTAACCCGGGTGATTGTCATATGTAACAATCATCATGATCAAAAAAAATAAATGACAATTCTTTACTCATCAAACAAAACAATGAAAAGAAAAAATCTGAATGAAATATACAGAACCACTGCTTTCAATCAAATGTCATCACAAAAATGATATATTCTTAAAGTTATTGGACTTATCCGAAAACAATGATTTGTTCATGTTCATTCAACAATTTCAGTTAACCAAAAAATCAAAATATCAATCATCCAACTGAAAGAAAACAATGAATGATATTCGATAGGTGTTTTTTTTGCATTTCTTTTCTTTTGTTTTCCATTGAATATTCAATGAAATTAATGATTAAATCATCATCATCATTATAATCATCATAATTAGAATTTGATTCGCTGAATAATAAACTGATTGATATATGTAAATCATTTGCATTTGAATTCAATAAATGATCATGATCAATTTAATTCAAAGATTCAATTGTTTGATTAAATTATAAATGAAACTGATTGAATAATGAATCATAAATGAAAATGAATGTTTCTATCACCATTCACTCTCTCCACGAATAACGACACACAAACGAAAAACATTCAAATTGCGATCCATTTTTTCCCAGGTTTTTGCAGTTTTTTTTTAAAAAATTGTGTAACTAAAGTGAACGTCATCGTGTAACCAACAGGAAAAAAGTTTTCATTAATTCAATTTTTTTTTCTCTCGAAAGTGTATTGGATTTTGTTCACGGTGTGTGTGTGTGTGTATGTGTGTTTACCGCAATCGATTTTTGGTTCTTTTTCATCGACCATCATCATAATGATGAATGAATGAATGAACGAATCGATTCATTCAAAAAGTCAGGTAATTTCATTTTCATTCAATCATTTTTTTTTCTCTGCCACTTTTTTTTCCAACCGTTAATTGATTGATTGAATGAAAAAAAAAATTTAATCAAAAATTTAATAAAACAATTCATGTGTTTTTTTCATTTTTTGGATCGACAAACAAATGAAACAAACGAATAGAAAAATCGAATCAGTTCAAATTCATTGTGAAAAATTTTTGATGAAAAAACAAACTGATATAGTAAAAAAAGGTTAGGTAATTGTTTCCATTGTTTGGAATTTATAAACAGAAATCATCAACAACAACAACAGCAGTAGGTCTTTTTGATCCTGCTGCTTTTTCAATTGCTTTTAAAAAAAAAACAAAATATAAAATGAAAAAAAAATGAAAATAATCAAATGGTTACCACCAGTGAAACAGAAAGAGAGAAAAAAAATGAATATTAAAAATATTGGCCAGAAACAAAAACTCTGAAGAAGAATAAGAATAAGAATAAGAATTTCAATGAATTCGGTATTGTGGTTGTTGAAAGTCAATTGAGAAACAATGATGGTGATGATCATCATCAACAACAGTACCATCTCCACTATGGAGAATAATATCATTTTGGGTTTTGTCTTTGGTGGTGGTGGTAGTGATGGTTATTTTCTGGAATTTTTTTTTGTTTTCCATAGTGAGCCATCAAAAAATTCACTCTGGTTCATTCACTTACTTTCGAGCTCGAACTGGCATTTTGTTCAATAGCTAGCTATTTTGCATAATGGGCATATGTTTTTTGCCATCATACAGCCAAAAAAATATACGAAGAACAACCATTATCATCAAAAAAAAAGATGATACTATGGATTTTTTTTTCATCTCTTTTCATGTTTAAAGGTTTTTGCCATTCTACTTCTTTATTTTCAATTTTACAAATCCAGTAACCTTAGTTTGTTGTTCAAAAAACCTTTGTGTCGAAAGTTTCATACTAATGCATTTTTCATCTTTTTTACCCATCATTTTGAATTGAATTTAAATTTGAATTGAATCGTTCGACATTGTTTTTTAGCTTCATTAAAGGGCTTAATATTTTTTTGGCTTGTTTGATCGATGGAATCAAAAAAAAAGTTTGATCTGCTGTCCATACAGAATTGACATCAAGAGTTTTTGGAATTTTCGTTTTGAAAACAAAAAAAAATTTAATCAATTTTGTTTTACTCATTCCAAATTTGTTGGATGTCAATGTCGTTTCCAAATTTTCATAATGTTTTTCAAAATATGTAAATTGCATCAAATGAATGTGTCATGAAAATTTTCTTTTCAGAAAATTTTTCCCTGAAAAAATAACATAATAACAACAGCAACGGACATTCAAACAAAAGTGGAAAAACTAATTATAAGGCAAAATAACAAAAAAAAGACAACCCAACAAACTACTATAGCCAAAAAAACAAACAAACAAGAATAATGATGCGAATTTAGATCGATGTTTTACATTTCATATTAGTCTATTTATAAAAAAAATAAAGGTTATAAATGACTAATAAGCAGCAATGTTTTTTTCTTTCTATTATTTGGATCCATTTTCCAATTCAGGTGTCCAATTTGTTTTTTTTTTCGTTCGATGAATCAATTTTGGTTTAGTTTTTGGTTTCATTTCCTTTGACACAAACAACCCAATGACATTCAATGTATTAATAATAATTTAATTAGGTCCCTTGGATTTTTTCGGTTTTTTGTTTCTCTATTGGATTCATGAAGAATGTTATAACATCATGTTTTTCTTTTGGCCAAACGAAAGAAAGAAAGAAATCTCTGCATGTTTATTTTTATAATAAAAGATGACTGAAACTTGGGACTTTGTCAAGAAAAAAAAGAGAGAATAAAAAATTTATTTCCAATTAAAAGCCAAGTCAAAATCCCAAAAACCAGAAAATGAAAATGATACAGTTACATCCAGGTATATTTATCAAGGGTTTTTTGTTGTTGTTGTTGTTGTTGTTCAATGAGAAAATGTCCACTTGTAATGTGAAATAAGAAAAATGTCTTTCTCACTCTGTCTATATTAAATTATGTGTTTGACATGTGTTTTATTACAACAACAACAACTTTATTTTGGCTTTTATTAATTCATTTTTTTTTTTGGTATGTTTGACAATATGAAAAATAACTGTCCAGCCAAACAAACAAAAAAACATTCTTGAAGAGAATATAAACATGAAAGAAAGAAAAAACAATATTTATTCTTTCAACCAATATAACCAATTAAACGATAAAGTTAAGTGTTTAAGTTGTTCGTTCGTTCGTTCGTTGATGTTCATATATGAAGAATTTTTTTTAAGTTAGTTAGTTAGGTGACAAGTTTGTTTAACACACAAGCTTTATTCGAATCATAATGAATAAATTGAAACATGCAATCAAAGGATTACTGGAGAGAAAGTGAGAAGCAAAAATTCAATAAATTATTTGGGTGGTCAATACACACACACACACACATTTGAAATATGATTCTTTTCATAATTGGCTTTTTTCTTTCACAAGAATTTCAGCTAAGAATTATTTTTTTTGGTCATTTACCTAATTAGTGAATTTCTTCCCTTGTTGTTTTCGTGGTTCGAATATTGAATAACCAGAAAAAAAAGTTATTAAATTTTAGGGATGGTTACGAATTGCTAAAAAAAACAGACAACAGCAAAAACTTATTAACAAGATTGAATTAGATATGACTTTTGCTACCTGACACGAGCCATAATAGCAGCAGCTACCCAAGTGGAACGATTCAAATCAAGTTAATGAATTATTGAATCAAAAAACATAAAAACATAAAGAAAAAATGAGACTGAGACATAATATTGAAAAAACATTTAGCCTAAAAATATATCGAATGATCATCGCACGATAACGATAATCATGAAATAGTTATGACAGACAGAATGGTAAACGTTTTGGCAATGATAAAATTGAATAAGAAAAAAATCAATTCAATCATTGTAAATGGAAATCGAATCTATCCGTGTGTGTGTGTGTGTGTAGTCACCGTACATTTTCCCATGATCCATTGGATTCTCATCATATTTGACAAATGAAAATACAAAATCAAAAACAAAAAAAAATCAAAAACAACACGCCTTAATACAGCAGAAACAACAAAAATTATTCAAACATGATGATAAATCCATTGAGATTCTTTTTTTTTCGTTTTCAATCAACTAAATGTTTTTTTTTTGTTTTATTCCTAAAAATTTTCATTTCGAGAGTTTATTCTTTCGTTTTTCCGTTTTTGTTTTTGCACACAGTGAATAAAAACTGAAAAAAAGTTGTGTGTGTGTGTTTTTGGTGTGATCTTCAATGATTTGATTTTGATTCGTTCGTTGAAAACAAAATGATTATTGAAAATTGAATTGACTAATTTCTCTTTCTTTCTTTTTATTGTTTTCAATTGTTTATCAACACACACTTATGTTTGAATCACACAGAAAACATTGAATCTACTTGAGAATTTGAACTGTATCTTGAAAACAAGAATAAATATGTTGCTCATACCGGGCATTAAAATGAATAGACAATATTCAGAAGCAAAGTTTGCCCATCATCATCATCATCATCATCATCACCATAATCATCATTATAGACATAATCATAACAGGATTATGAAAAGCCATTCAACAACAACAACAACAAAACCAATGTTATGGAAGCTTAGTTTGATTTGCTCAAAATTGTTTACATTTAAATTATTAATCATACATTTTATATTCAATTTTGGTAAGTGAGATTGAAAATATTTTCTTTTTTGTTTCTTTTGATTGCTAACTTTTAAATCATTCAATTTCGTTATCATATTGATCAGATCTTTGCTATAGTCTACGTTTAGTGATGTTGGAAGTGCCATCACCATCATATGCTGGCGAATCAATCGAATTAAACTGTATCTATGAATTGGAACAGGATAAACTTTATTCAGTTAAATGGTATAAAAATGATGTTGAATTCTATAGGTAAGATACCAAACAATCGGCTTTCTAAGCTAAATTGTTAGCTTGCTATTTCCAATTTATGTGCGCTTGCTCTTCTTCGACATTAGAACTGTAGAAAATTAATTAAAATATCAGCTTAATTAATGATTGATGACTGATTCTTGATGTTGTTCATTTCTTGATTCTGTCATTATACACCTATTCCGTTTTTTTTTGTTTTGTTTTGCATGTTTGAATCATGTTTTTCTTGTTTACATTGAACCGGATAAATTATTCAAGCAAACATTGCTACAATCTTTTCATCTTCAATTTTTTCATTCATTTTCTTTATTTTTTTTTCTGGTTGAATCAAATTCTTTCATCCATGAATTGGCCGGTCGAATCTTCGATTTTCTACAAACTTTACTTGGATTCCGTGAACATAGATATGTGCCTAAGGTAGGAATTGAAAAGCAAAAGCAAAAGAGAAAGAAAGAAAAAAATTGAATAAATTATAAGATTCACTAGACTAATAAGACCATGACTGAAATTTCTTTCTTTTTTTTTCGTTTTACATCAATATTTTATGCTGACAACAATAACAACAACGACCAATGGACACATTCATTTTGCTTGATTAAAAAAAAAATTGGAATGTTCATTTCATCGATTTATTGCTTATTTTATTTTATGTTTATTATGAAGGATTGGCCGCCAGGTCAATTTTTGCCAATTAATGGAATTTCAGTTGATGTAAGTAAAACAAAAAATGAATGTATGAATCAATGAATCAATTATCGAAAATAAAATAAAATGATTCTATTCAATCAAAACAAATGAAACGAAAACAGTTAGCCAAATCGGGAATGAATTCCGTATTCCTAAAATTTATCGATATTAATACGGCTGGTCTTTACAGGTAACCAATCATTTTACATAATATGAATGTTTCATTTTGTTTCATTCGTTCGAATCAAAAAGATGTGAAGTATCAGCTGAAGCTCCATCATTTGTTACGGCTGAAGGTGAAAAAGAATTACAAGTAACAGGTAAGGTTTGAATTTTATTTTTTAATTTATTGAAAACATTTATAATTAAAAGTGGAATTCCACTTTTAATTAATAAGGATAATTATGATAGTTGTATTAGATAGGTAAAATTATAGTGTGAAAGTTTTCGGCTTGATTGTTGGAAATTATTAGATCATTATCAGATAGAACGATAAAAGCACACAGGTGCAAACCAAAAAATATCTTTATTAATTTTAAGTTATTAATGATATTATCGGGCATGATTAATCATTCTTTCATTCATTTTTTTTTCTTCCAAATAATCAGTATTGCCATCGAGTGGTCCACGAATCATCGGTGTAAAGCCATCATATAAGATTGGCGATGAAGGTAAGTTTAATAATCAATCAATTCAACCCAAAAAACTACCTAGAATTTAAAAAAAAATAATAATTTCAATTTCTCCAAAAAACAAACAAACAAACAGTGAATATAACCTGTGTATCGGCCAAAAGTAAACCATCATCAACATTACGATGGTAAGTTTGAGAATTATTATTCAATAAAAAGAAAGATCCTTGTTGTTGAAAATGAAAATATATTCATCACAACAACAACAACAACAACAACAACAGTTAATTATTTATCGGATCATCCTTATCAATTGAAAACGATGATGATGATGATATTGATGATGAAAACAATCGAGTATAGAATAAACAAAATAAACAAACAACTCTCAAAATGATAATAATAATATAAAGGAAAACATACACCTTTCCTCTCGATTGAATGAATAAATATAACGTTTTAGTTAATGTTTAGTTTAGTTTAGTTCAATTCAATTTAATTTAGTTCATTTTGTATTAGTTTAATGTTGTTTGAAATAGGTCCCCGAAGATCCAAAACGTACATTATAGTTTTTCAATTTTATTACCCCCGAAAAAAAATGTGTCTGATATTTTCTAATTAATCATTCTCCATGTTCATCCAAATACCGGTTTTTTTTACCTTGATCCAAATTCATTTCCGATTGGTCGTCAACAACAACATTGATGAAATAATAATAATCAACATTATTAACCCAGGCACATCAATAATAAAGAGGTAATTTATCTCTCGATTTAATGTTTGTTTAATGTATTCTATTGATCAATATTTTTTTTACCTATATTTTCTGTTTATTTATCATGTTTGTTCATTGTTTCACATATTCTGTCTTGTTTTTTTTCAAATGGCTTTATTTATTACATTGAACAAAAATCTATGACGAAAAATAGGTTAAAAATGATGAATATCATATAATAAATGCATCGCATATTGTAGATGATGAAAATCTTGAAACAAGCAGTATTCAATTACGATTTATTGCACTTGATGAGGTAGGCTGAAAGTCGAAATGATTAATAATGAATTCTTTTTTGAAAAAAAAATGATGATAATAAACCAAATACAAATACATGTTTTTTTTAAGCATTTTAAATCTGGTATTATACGTGTAAAATGTACATCAACAGTTATTCGTATGCATACAATGAGCAATGAAATTATTTTACGTACAGAAATTCCAATGACATCGGATAAATATCTTGATAATTATTTTAGTGAAAATCTAAATCAATTACGTAAGTAATCACTAAATGACTAAATAAGTAAACATGATTGTAATCTGTTTTCTCTGCGAAAAACAGCGAATGATGGCCATGGACAATCATCATCATCATTGGTTATCATCATCATTATGACAATCGCCGTAGTTATTAATTTCTAGATTTTGTCATCAAATCAAATCAATCAATCAATCAATTCTGTTGTTACATTTTTGTTGTTCTGTGTCCTATTCCTATGCAAAATCAATTTCCTTCAATCGTCGATACAAATTTTCAAATTAATTAAAATAAAATGAAATAAAAACAGAAAAATTTTCTTTTAAAAAAATTTGTTGTTGTTGTTCATTGATTTTTCATTGATTTTAATAAATTATTTTTTTGGGATTCAAGTTTAGTTCAAGGATATTATTGTCATCAATATTGGCAGCATACAAAAAATTTGAATACAATAAAAAAAATATGAATCCAGAATCAGTTGCGGAAATCAATTCATTAGAGATAAACGAACGAAAACTTATTCAAATGTAATCTTTGTTCGTTGAATGAAATAGGCAACCTATTTTTTTCGGGATACAAACATCAAACTTGAGACGATGTTTTATTCGTTGCTCGTGTTTTGTTGCATTTCTGGTATTAACATCTAAAAAAAACCATATTTGTCGATATTTGATGATGCAGTGATGGTGGTGGTGGTGGATATGACATGAGTTCCAGATGTTTTTATGATCGTCGTCGTCGTTTGTTTGTTTTCATCTTGTCCTGTTTTTTTCGATTTTTTTTCGGTTCGGTATCATTGTTGTTGATGATGATGATGATGTTAGTCGATATTGATATTATACACAACCACAAAGACGAACAAATTTTTAGGATTTTTCATGATATCATAAACAACAACAACAACAACAAATCATTCGATCTAAATAACAAAAAAAAAAAACAACGACAAAAAAAAGTTTCATTCAAAAACCAAAAGTAACAGCAGTGAACTAAATCAGTGAAAATAGAATCGAATGGCTTTTTATCATTTTTTTTTGCTATTCTATTTTGCTATTTTTTTTCATCACAAAAACTGAAGTAAATCATAATCTTTGAAGATTATTTTGACAATTTCATTCATTCATTTTTTTTCCATAATAATTTGATGGACATTTCATAAATAAATTTTCTTATTTAATCTTTAAATCATTCCATCATCATCATATATGATTCTGATGAGCTTTTCTCTATTGTCATCATTATCATCATCATCATCATCATGAATTTAATTTCCTCGTTTTGGCCGCTTTGACAGATCAAGCCAACGGGATCATCACCATCATCATCATTAGACAGGTCCATATCGATGACAAAAAAATAAAAAATAATAATAATAAATTTTGATTGCTCGATATTTATTGATTCGTCGAACAACGAAACAAAACAAAATATAAACGATTCTGATTAGGATTCAAATGTTGAACAGGAATGAATTGAAACGAAATATCATTTTCGTTAATGTGTCAATCGTTTTAGGTTTGTTCTTTATTTCTTTCTCTTTTTTTTTGTTCACTAATGTCCCTTTTTTTGATTTTCAAAAATTTCATTTGACATTTATTTTTTTTATTTCTGTTCTTTCACCGCTCAACTATATCTTACATGGAAATGACACAATCAAATGTCGACATTATCGCATCATTTTTTTTCCTTCTCTCACTCTCGTTAACATTGTATCGTAATGAACAGGAAAAGATAGCAACCAGCAACCGTCGTTAAAAAAAACTATGATATCAATATGGAATTCTAATGCCCGGAAGGTGAAATGTCATTGTGTCGATGATGAACAAAAAACCTTCAATAATAATAATGTGGGTCGATTTTTTTTTTGTTTCATTCAACGTAAAAACCACTATAAACCTTTGACAATAATGATTGGCAATCTTGTAAAAAATAAACCAGGTATGAAAATATGGCCATCATTTATTCCATCATTCACTCCGATTCAACACACAAAAAATTCAAATATTCAGTTCTTAATGGATTGAAAATGGGGTATGTTTTTGGAAAATGAATGTAAAATTTTAATCAATAATTTAAAAACATGATTTTTTTTTGAATGAATTGAATAATTAAAATTTTTTCCATTTGATTGCATTAAGGAATTTGTTTTTTTTTCGCTCTCTCACTCTATCTATTTCTCCTACCGTAGATTTTTGGTATTCAAATAGTTGATTACCGTCGAACACACATCATTCATTACCGTAAGTCATTAGTGAAAACATCATCATCATCATCAAATGTATCAGATGCTTATGGAAAAAGAAAGAAGAAAAACAAATTGCTAATAACAAAAAATTTTTTGTCATTTTTTTCTTGCCGCCAAATTGATTGTCAAATTGTTCACATTGGATGATTTTAAAAAAGGCATTTTTTCTGTTGGAAACAAAATAATAATCATCATCAAAATAGTCTGAATGATAAGCTTCCTAAGTTGGTTTTTTTTTTGCATTTCCTGAATGTTTTTTGGTTAATTATTAAATGTTTTTTTTTTCTCCCAACACACGCACTTGACATTATCATTCAAAGTGGAAATTCAGTGTTTTTTTTGAATCTTGAAAAAAAGAAAGAAAGAAAGAAAGAATTTCCCAATTTTCAAATCAAATAAAATTGAAAAAAATTATGGTAAATGGTTTGCACGAACAAACATGAAAAAATCGAAATAATTTTACGGAAAACATATCGTTTATAAACCATTATGTTTTTTTTTGTCTTCATTTGGTTTTGTTGATGATATTTCTTTGAATGTCTTTGATTATCGATTATTCACATTTTGAAAAACATTTTTTTTCGCATTCTGATTTCAACAGAATTGAGAAAACGATTGTAATGAATTCATGACGAAATTTGAAATAAATCTTTTTTTGAACAATTTTTTTTCAAAAAAATAGATTTTCATTCATCAATTTGTCGATTCAGATTATTTTGAAAATTTTCAATTTCTGGACTCGACATAACAATTGTGATGACTATGACAGAAATATTTTAGATTCACAATGATCCAAATGATGATCAGGTCATTATGATGATGATGATAGAATCAACTCAGGTGAAGTAGAAACAAAAAATTTGCCTAGACATGATTTTTTTGTTGCTCAAATCCATACGAAAATAAGTCCCATTATTATTGAAAATAATGAACTGAATCCGGAACAAATACAGAAAAAAACCCTTGGATTGATTGATTGATTTATTTCGAATGTTGAATAATAGAAATGTTACTTTTGTACCTGTATAATGGTTACACATATTGTATTTCAATTAAATTAATTTACAAAAAACATTGTTTCTTTCAATACCTGATCACCCGGTAACTAAAGTATTAGATAATTAAGACATTGTTTTATTTTTCGAAAAAGAAACCAAAAAAAACTGATTTCCAATTGATAATATTTATAAGGAAAGTTTTTAGTTACCGTTATTCGTTAGTTCGATAAGATATGATTAATCTGATCAATATGTATGGTGTGTGTGTGATTATAATTAAATTTAATCATTAGGCGTTGGCTTGTGCCATTTGATTTGTCTGTCTTTTGACAATTGGTTTGATGGTTTCAATATTATGTGACCGGTTTTTCTTGGATTCTTGCTTGTCCCACGGATTCTTCTTGTAAATAATAATAATAATAATCTGTTCTGTTCTAGAAGCATTGGAATGTTCATCATATTCATTTCTCTATCTCTCTCTTTGTGTTTGTGTGTTAAAATTCAACAAACTGATCAACGTTGTTATCAATAAATTCTGTTTTGTTGCACCATAAATATTTGGTTGATTTTTGTACCTGTTTAAAAGTTTCTATTTTGTACCACACCCGAGTGAGTCAAATTTTGGTGAAAGTTAGTTTTTTATTATTATTTGTTGTTGTTGTTGTTGGATGAAATATTCTGATCAATGAAATGATAACACAGATGAATCTGGCTGTTTTCTATCTACGCATCCAAATTGAATAATATTGTTGTTCGTTTTTGTTTTACTGTTTGCATCAACATCCATAATGTCCGATAATAATGATAATAATGAACAGAGACCACGTTTGGAAAAACAACAAAGTTGTGATGATAATAGTGGTGGACGTAAAGATTCAATCAGTTCACATACACCACCACCATCACATTCACCTGGTGGTGAAGTAATTCTTAAAACAAAAGGAAAATCATCAGGTTCTCGAAGAGGATCAACAACATTTTTAACCAGTGATGATAATATTATTATGGCATTTGGTTCTGGTCGCCGGTTATCTTCATTTTGTACAACATCATCATATGAGTAAGTCAAAGATGTTTATGTTTACCACAATTTATTTAATCAATCAAATCAGAGATACAGCCATATCAATTGGTGATGAACCATTTACCGAAGAAGAAATATCCGAAACAATACGTGCACATAAACAGATTATTGCAACAATGAAACATCAAAATTGGCCAATGTATCGTAAATTAAAGGTAAATCTGATTGTTGATTGTTGATTGATTAATCATTAACTTTGTTGTTTTTTACTTTTAAACAATGACCATCATCATAATCAAGGTATTGAATCGTGCAAAACATTATGTCAAAAAACATGAAGGAGAATTGAAACAATCAAAACAAGCTAAAGATTTGGTTGCCAAATGGAAAGTCTACATGGAAAGGGTTGGTCTTCTACAATTCATTTAGTCATTTTATTCCATTCATTCATTCCATTCATTCATTTGATGTAATGTGATGTGTATAGAATCGATTTTCGATTTTCTTCATCATATCACATAATCATTACATTGATGATGATGATTATTATTATATAACAACAATAACAAGCTTTAATGTCGTTTTTTTGTTTGTTTGGTTTTTATATTCGTATCACACACATATACAGAGCATCAATCGTATTAAACGTGAATTGGCCAATTTGATTGTGGTCATTACGCCTTGGGAAATGCGAATCAAAAAAATTGAAAGTAAGTCGATAAAAAGCAAGCAAGGAAGAAAGAAAGAATATTCTTTGAACAAAAAAGACAGAGGTGTATGCTTTGTATGTTTTTTTTTTGTAAATATAAAAAAATATCAATATTATCATTATCATTATCGAATCTGAATCATTCTATATGACCGCAAATGATCTTTGATTTTTTGTTTTCTTATTTTTTTTCGTTTTGTTTTTTGTTTTGATCGATCGATCGATCGGATCGATTGATTTTCCTTAATGTTTGTTGGGTGTTTGTGTGTGTGTGTGTGTGTGTGTGTATTGATTTTTGCTTTTTCCATTTTGTTTTTTGAACCGATTTCGTAGTTTAGATATACAGAATATTCCGGGTTAGTTTTACAGGTTAATTACCTATTTTTTTCAATAAGCATTAGATTTTTGGTTTGTTTTTGTTTCACTCATTTGATTCTGGATTTTGGTTCTGGATCTGATTTTTTTTCTGGCCAAAAGATTTATATCCATCGTTATTTCTTTTCTTTTTTTCGTTGTTTCTGGATATAAAGCTAAGCTTTTTCGCATTGAAAGATAGACTTCTATTAATTTCTATTAGCACCTAAGTAGCGTATTAACTGAAGAGTGAAAAAAAGCGAAGAAGAATCTGGTATTTTTTGGGTAGAATCCATATTGCCAGATTTTCAAAATGAAACACTTTGTTTCTTATTTATTTATTTTTTTCGTTGGATTTTTTCTTCACTACTTTCCTTTGCACATCAATTTTTCGAGCGTAAAAAAACAAATTTTCAAACTTTACATCAATGATGGTCATGAGGATAAATCTTTTAGTTTTTTTCACCAACCTTACCAGTAGCTCGATGACATTTGGATAATCGATGTTGTCGAATGTCATTTAAATTTTGTTTTTGTTTTTCCTATTGGTTGATATAAAGAATAAAAGTGAAAAATGAAACTGCAACCAATTAGCGATTATATTTTGCTAAAACGTGATTTTAATGTGCAGAAATGAAATTTTTCTTTTTCTTCTTTTTTTTAAGTCAAATGGATCGAAGAAAATTGAATCGATTAGTTGATCTATGGATCATTTGAGAGAAATCTATTTTCATTTTGAAAATTTACTATTTATATAATTCAAATACATTGTAATAAATTTTGTTGTCTTTTTTCAAAAAAAAACAGGCCATTTTGGTTCAGGAGTTGCATCGTATTTTATATTTCTTCGTTGGGTTTTCTGGGTGAATATCTTTATCAGTGTATTTATTTGCTGTTTTCTAATGGTACCGGAGGTATGTATTTTATCTGATAATCGAAAAAAACAAAACACTTATTTATATGAATGGGGTTGACAAATGTCAACTCATCCATTTTATGTATTATATGACTACCATTGGTGTTGGTGTTGGTGGTTTCAATTGATTTAACACACTATTATTATTCGATTTTCCTATTCGTTACCGGAATAATTTTTCACTTTTTTTCTGATCCTTATGGAATCCTACTTTTTTGTTTTTTTTAACTTTGTTTTTTTATTCCTTTTTAGGTTTTACGCGGTGATCCAGATCCTACCGGTATGCGAAAAGAAGTTGAAGATGCTGAAGAATCGCTTAAATTACAGGCCATCTGGGATTTTGAGGTAAAGAAGCTTACAAATAATGTGTAATAATAAGAAACAAAAACTAAAAAAAACTAAAAACTTTCCATACACACATACAGGGATATCTAAAATATTCTCCCATTTTCTATGGATATTATAGTAAAACTGAAATGACTAGTGAAGGTATGTTTGCTTGCTTGTTTTCAACAAAAAAAGAATGTTTTGCTTCATTTATTTCCATTTTATTCACACACACACACCACTCATTTATTCATTCATTCACACCTACTAAATGATATTATTATGGTTGATGGTTATTATTCAATTCCAAACACACACACACAACGCTCATTATCCATTGAGTTTCCGGACAAACCCACACACACACACACATTGAGAAAAGTGAGAAAAGATGTCAATTAGTCCAAAAAAAAATTCGGTTTCTGGAAACACCAACCAAAAACAAAATAACAAGAAAACAAATCAACGATCATAAAATACAGAAAGTTTTGCTTATGTTTTTTTTTTCTTTATTCTGGCCAAAAAAAAAGTTTGCAAATCAGTAAATTTGATTTTGTTGTTTTCTCAATTATCATTATCATCATCATCATTATTATTATTATTAAATATTGAAAATTCAATTTTGAAATGAATATTCAACCAACCAATTATATTATCATCATTATCATTGATTTTTAATTTTTTTGTTACCGAATTCAATTTGATTAAGGTTTTCGTTTACCATTGGCATATTTTCTCACTACATTTTCACTTTATATGTTTAGCTTTTTTTGTATTCTACGCAAGTAAGTTTTGTTTTTTGTTTTGTTGTGTAAATTATTAAATTATTATTCTGATGATCCACTTGTTTTGTTTTTGTTTTTCTGTGGTTATAGAATGGCACAAAATTCACGTATGAGTCGTGTTGCAAGCAAAGATGATGAATTTACATTCTGTTGGAAAGTATTTACCGGTTGGGATTATATGATTGGTAATAGTGAAACGGCTTATAATAAAGTTGCATCATTAGTTATGAGTTTAAAAGAATCAATACTTGAAGAAAAAGAACGTAAAAAAGAAGAAAGAAATTGGAAATTAATTGCTATTCGTATTTTGACTAACATTATGTTTGTATATTTTTTTTTCATTATCATCATTTAGATTCTTTTTTGTTTAAAAATGTCCATTTTTTTTTCTTTGACAGGGTTTTATCATTATTAGCATCATCAGCTTATGGTGTTGTATTAGTAGTGGATAGATCACAAGAACCGATTGAAAATCCATCATGGTTACGTGCAAATGAAGTAACATTAGTATTTGCCGGTATTGGTATTGTATTTCCAAATATATTCGATTGGATTGGTAATATGGAACAATTTCATCCTAGAATTGCATTACGATGGCAACTTGGAAGGTAATGATGATCATGATGATGAAAAGGTCATATTTTCAATGTTGAATCAATACGGAAATTGGCTTCTCGTTACATTTCCCCTCATTCTTTTATTGGAAAATGCATAAATCATTTTGCAATTTTCTTTCACTTTTTTCTTCCTGAACTTTATAGACAAAGACTTTTTTTTAGTACAATATCGTATACCCTGTATGAAAATATGTTACCCTGAATTTCATCATCATCATCATCATTGAATTTTTTTGCATATCGGTCGTATTCATTTAGGCCTTCAGGCTACATTATGATGATGATAATCATAGCGTTTTTGGCTTTTAATAATTTTTGACAATGAAAAGTTTTCACTGGCTTGAAGCAAGTTTAATGTTTTTTCTCTTCTTCTTCTTCTTTAAATAACCATTTTGTTTAGTCATTTTGCCGTCATCGCAGTTTTCGAAACAAATTCTTATTCGTTTTTTTTTCAGTGAAAAAAAGAAAAATTTAAAATTCTTTCATTTTTTTTCTATTCGTATAACAAAATATTCTAATTGTGTATGTAAGTAACGGAATCGTTTTATTTTTTTTTCTCCTTTTTTTTCACCATCATCATCCATCGATGACAGAATTTTGATTCTAAATTTTTTAAACATGTATACATTAATGTTATCATTATTTGGAAAAGTTGATTCAATGGTAAGTTTGGTTTGCTGGCTGCTGTTCAATCATTGAACGGTGATCAATCTTTTTTATTATTTTTCTTTTTAAAATTTCTTGTTTTTGTTTCCATTCCGTTTATCCAAAAATGTACAAAGACAACACAATTATTGGAAATCAAAGCAAATATTACGATGCAAAAAATGCAATTGAATACAATTGCATTGACCACTATGGCCACCTATAATCGTATCAAACGTGATGGTCGTGATGGTTAGTTAGTCTGTGTTCAACGTTATGAATCCAAGAATTGCTTTTGATTTGACACTTTTTTGTTTTGTTTTTCTTTTTTTTGTTGTTGTTGACAACTTAGAATATGAAGATTATGATGAAAATCAAAATGATGATTATATTATGATGATGATAACAAATACACCATCAATCATTTATGATCCATATGAGATTCAATCTCGTAAAAAACCGGATTTTTCTATCGAAGGACGTTATCATTTCAATACTGATCCGTAAGTTTTTTTTATTCGCTCGAATACACATCCATTGCCATTGATTGAAGATGGGAAAAAAGTTTTTCTTTTGAAAAAAATGGCGCGATAAATAAATAATAATTTAATCAATTATAATTTTAAATTACAATTTTTTTCCACTTTTCATTTTATGATACGATTGATATTATTTGATCAAAGTGAATTTGAAAATAATGAATGGCATACGACAACCGATAAAACGGTTGTTTGGCAAAATTTAGAAACAACCACCATGCCGACCACAATAATAATGACAGCGAATGAAACTTTTGTGACAGATGACCATCGATATAAATCGAATATAACAACTACATTAGCTATGCCGTCAACAGCCATCAAATTGAACGATTCATCATCATTGCCATCACGAACCACTCAGCCAATAACATCATCATCATCATCATCGACAATGACAACAACCGGATCAACATTATCACCAATACGTATAGCTGGTAATAATTTAGGCCGTAAAAGACCCGGAATTCGTTATAAATTTGGACAGCCAACAATAACAACCACAACGGAAATGATTACCGAACAAGTGTTTACTATTATACCGGCTGATATGGTGATTAATTCTTGTCAGAATAATACCGAATATATAATTACCGATGAAGATCTTATTGCTTTGAATGAAACGGAAAAAGATCGATTAAGAAAATTATGTTGGGAAACAATGTTCGGACAAGAATTAGTTAAATTAACTGTTATGGATTTTGTATTGACAGTAATATCAACATTGATTAGTGATTTTATACGTGCATTAATTGTTCGATATTGTAATGGTTGTACTTGTATTTGTTGGGATCTGGAAAAAGGTTTTCCGGGTTATGGTGATTTTAAAATTGCCGAAAATATTCTACATTTAGTCAATAACCAGGGTGTTATTTGGTTGGGAATGTTTTTTTCACCTGGATTACCGGCAATTAATTCAATCAAATTATGTCTTCTTATGTATGTTAGATCATGGGCAGTATTAACCTGTAATATACCACATGAAACCGTATTTAAAGCATCAAGAAATAATAATTTCTATTTTATGTTATTATTACTAATGCTATTCCTATGTACATTACCGGTTAGTTATGCTGTTGTTTGGTTAGAACCATCATGGCATTGTGGTCCATTCAGTGGTTATCAACGTATCTATAAAATTCTAAGCACTTATATTGAATCAAAATTACCAAAAACATTAAACAAAATACTTGATTATCTTACATCACCTGGTGCTGTTTTACCTACAATTTTACTATTAGTTTTATTTATTTATTATCTATTATCATCAGTATCAGCATTAAAAGATGCAAATAAAGAACTTAAATCACAAGTACGTAAAGAAAAAGATATTTCTGAAACTGGACCACCCGAAATGATTGTTACATCAGATCCGGGTGTTGCTGCAACCACAAGTAAACATGTACGAATACAAGAAGATGATCAACACCAACAACAATCGAAAATTGCTACCATTAATGGACAATCAGTACCACCGAATCTTTTGATGGACAGTTTGGATACAACTAGTGAAATTTAAAAATGACAACTGAAAAAAAATGAATTGGACATCGACGAAGAAGAAAAGAAAAAGCTGTTAATAACAAATCAAATCGATCGATCGATTTTCTATTCGAAACAAAAACAAAACAAAACAAAAATCTGGTTTTCGATTGATAATTTTCGTATAGAATCCAACATTCAGACAAAAATACAAAGAAAATAAAAACAAAAACAAAACTAAAAAATCAATAACCCCAAACTGTCCTTAATCCAGTTTTTTTTTTTAAAAAGCAAACGTATTGATGCTATTCTCTTGATTCTTTTCCATTCTATTTCCATTATATATTGTGTGTGTGTTTGTGTGTTTGTTTGTTTGTCAATCCTTAATCATTTAACACTGAATGTTTGTTTTCTTTTTTTCACTTTGGATATTTTTCACCAAACCAAAAAATAAAAAATAAAATAAAAAAATAATAAACGAATCTCTTCCTCTTCTCTTATCAGGGATTTGATTCATTGTGTGTTTTGTTTGTTTGTTGCAACAATTTGAAATCATTTATATATTCTATTTTCACTTTTTCATTCATCGATGGTGTTTACAATTCAATTCGGTGTCATTAAAAATCGAAATTTTCGCTGTTTTTTTTCCTATTCTTTTGTTCGGAGATTCTGTTTTTGATGTTGTTGTTTTGGGATGTTCGATTATTTTATATTTTTTGTTGTCGCCATATACGAGAGAAACAAAAACGCTACATTCATAAATCGATCGCTATGAATTCTCGATATAGTTCTTGGTTTTGTAGATTTTTCTTCGATTCACATCATATAGAATCGGGTCATTTTCAGAAACAACAACAAATGTGACACCAATAAAAATGATGATCATTGATTGATTAGTCGTTGTTGTTTTGTTTTTGTAATGAATTTGAATGTAAACATTGAATTGATCATATGGTTCGTCGACAATCTATGATGATGATTGCAATCAAAAAAACGAAAACAAAAAACAACCAACCGAAATGGATAAACCAAAAGATGAAAAAAAACAAAACGAACATCAAATTATTATTACATTCACACACAACCACATTTGACAAATCAAAAAAAAAAAGGAAAACGAATAAGTGAAAAAAAAATTTGGTTTGAATAATAACCATTTTCACTCTTCTTCCTACATCCTTATAATCGAAAAAGAAGAAACAAAAAAAGAAGAAATAGAAACATTTGTAACATTGATATATCGATCACACACACAAACACAGAATTCTTTTTTTTTCATGATTCAAAATTGCAAACTAGATTTTCTATTTGTTTTTGGCTTGTTCAGGATCATTGGATTGAATCATTCATTCATTCATTGATTCGTTTATTCATTCATTCACCAACGACAACAAACAATCTTTGTTTTTGTTTTTTTTGTTTTTTTTGGCAGAAGGTTGGCACCAAATAAACAATTAGGCGAACATTTAATGGCAAAAGAATTGTCGTAGGCCATCAACAACAACAACAACGATAACGATAAAAACAAAGATACAATTGGCCCAGGCAAACAAACACACGCAATTCGGAATACAAAAAAGAGAAACGAGAAAAAATCAAGTCAATAAGTCAGTTAGTCAAGCCAGTTATAGTATGTGACAATGATGATGGTAAGGAATACGACATCATTCATTCATTCACTCAATTCGATATTCTGGTTACCAGAGAAAAAAAAACTTGGAATAAAAAAAATAGTGAAAAATAAATTGATTTGTTCGTCCTGGATTCTGCTTGTTTTTCTTTTCTTCTTCTTCTTTCACTAACTGAGAGTTTTTTTTTGTGATAATGATCCAAAATGATGATGATGATGATAATGATCTATTTTGATTTTCATTCCATGAATTTTGATTTTTCATTTCCATTATAATCCTCTATGTGTGGATGACAATCGTTTTTCAACTTTTTCTTCATCGTCTTTTACTTTTCAATTGTGTCAAATTGAATGAAAGTTTAAATTAAATCATTCGAATGGATCTAATCGATGGAAGAAGATCGTAAGAAGGATCATCATTAAGATCATCATCATCATCATTGTTGAATCAAATGTCATTAAACTGGTGAAAGTGAATTAGAAAGTCGATTAGAAAAAAAAATTTTGAAATGAAAAAACGATTACCGAATTTTCTTTTTTTCGTCGACCGACAGAATTCGGAAAAAAATCGAATGAAAAAAACCGAATGTTTGATGATTTCGCCATCTATTGAATGAAAAATCAATTTTGTTTTAGTGAAAATCATCAATATTAGATGGCAGTGCCTTCTAACAGAATATTCGAAGGTCATATAGAAAAATTATTAGATGTGATAGCAGCTATGTGAAGAGAGAATATATTCTTGGAACGATATATATTCTAAAGAATAATAATTCTATATCATTTTATTGTGAGCAACAAACACATAAACAGATTTGTTTTTTTAATAATCGAATATCATCAAGTCTCCTTTGATTGTTATTTGATTGGATAAGAATGAAAAACAACAACAACAACAAGAACATTTCCGATTATTATCGATGATTATATTTGGCGCCATTATTATCAATTTAATTGTACCTTGACAATTGCTAATCGCTAATTGTCATTATCATGAATTAAGTGTGATGAGCAATAAATTAATTGCATTGTCACTAAATATCTTCTTTTGCAATCGACAACAACAACAACAACAAAAAAAATTGAATATTTCAAAAATGATAACCATGGTTTATCGATCATTATCATCTTAATAAACATCATCATTATCATTTTCAAAAAAAAAAATTTGTTATCAAGTTTGACAAACAATCATTATCATACTAATGATAATGATAATGATGATGATGATGGTCAATATTTATCAATATTCACCTTGATGTTTGATTGTCATGTTACCATAGCAATCGCAATGATGATGATGATCATCATCATCTCCTAAATTGAACTAAAGCCATTGTTTTTTTGCATCGAAAAAATACAATAATTGTAAGTTTTTCACTTTTCACTTTTTCGATTGTTTGTTTCAATTTTCGATCTAAACGAGAAAAAAAAATTTATCAATACGGAAAGTACGTGTGCCGGATGTTTAACATTTAATTATGGTTGGATTTTGTTGTTTTTTCAGTTCCCAAATCAAAAATGATAGCCATTAGTGATTTTCTTATTTTCTTGGAAAATGGGGTTAACAAAATTTGAAAAAAAACCTTGTCGTTTTTTTTTCATTCATTCAAAAATACTAATCATTTAGTTTTAACCCAACTAATAGCTAGGATTAGTTTTGTTTCTTGTTTCTGTTATTCTCATATAAAGAATATATTGATCATCGTATACTTTCAATCATATCTTAATTTAGAATCAACGTCATTATTATTTTGATGTTGATAATAATGGCGTCGGAGAATTTCTCGAATTTTTTTTTTGTTCACTTAAATTTCTACTAAGAACATTAATCTTCATATTTGGTTTTTCGTTGTTGTTTTCGTTTTCGTTTTTTGTTGTTGTTGTTGTTGTCACATTGTTTGAAGGACTCTTATTTTTTTTTCTTAGCTATTCAGTCAGTCACTCGCTATAAATTGCATCCAAAAGAATATTCTGTAAAATACATTCAAATGACGTATATGATGATGATGATGATGATATGTTTTGCTTCCCACACACACACACACACATCATACACCAAATGTCTTACATTCAAAGTTGTAATTGCGAGATCGAATTGACGATTTATAAAAATGGCAAGGTGTCAAAATTATTGTCGCCGACGACGACAACGACACTGGAATGAGAATGCTCATGATAATTTTTGTGTGTACGAACTAAAAAGAAAATTTCAATGCCTGTCCTTCTTTTTTACTTTACTTTAATTCATTTCATTTCAATAGTAATGATAATGTTATTTACAAAATTTTCATCTCCATTTCATCCTACCACACACACACACATTTCGTATATTTTCTTCTGATTTCCATTTTTTGATGCAACAAGTTTTTTTTCTTCTTCTATTTCTTTCATTTTAACCATTCGATTGGTTAGTTGTTGTGTGTTTGTTTGTTCAATTCATAATTTATTCGTTTGTTTTGTTTTGTTTTTGTTTCAAGTTGTTTTTATTATTATTTAAATTTCATTTTTTTCCCTGTTGAATTTATGATTCTTTCAAATTTTTGTTTGTCTTGTGCTTGTGTGTGTGTGTGTGTGAACCAGTGTGATCTGAGGGCATCTGAAGTAATCAATTTTTTTCTGAATTCTTTAGAAATTTTTTTTCGACCAAACAAACAATAAATAAATAAATAAAAAATCGAAAGGAAAAATTTCTCATTTTGTAGTGAAAAAGTAAGATTTTCTTTCTCTCACTCTCTTTTCCTTCGTTTTCACGAAACCATAGCTTTTTTCCTGCGATTAATGATGATGAGATGATCGTAAAAAATGCTTCTCTATTTGTAAAATCCAATAATAAAAAAAATTGTGATTTCTGTATCCGATCAGATATCGATTTATTTATTTATTTATTTTGTTTGTTTATTTTCCCCGTTTCATAACTCTTTTTATTCGTTTTTTTTCCTAAAGCCAAAAGTATTTATGCAAATTTTTTTTCCCCAGTTTCATATTTACTCAATAATGATGTTTGCTTTCAATTCGTTCATATAGGTAACCTACAAGAATTAAAAAGAAAAATGACCTCGACAACCGCTTATTATCATCATCATCATCATCCACCGACAACATCATCATCAAGAAATTATTCTTCATCATCATCATCATCCAAATATTCTGCTTACTCATCATCACCATCATCATCATCATCGTCGTCATCATCAACTTCCGGTTCACCATCATCGAATAATAAATATAGCAATATTTATTCAAGTTCACCGACAACATCATCATCATCATTATCATCATCATCATATCAATATAGGACACGTTCATCATATGATCTCAATAATTATCGACCTTCATCATATCTATCATCATCATATTCATCATCAACTTATTCACCTAAATCATCGTATTTAGCATCAAAATTTTCGGGTAAATTTAATAAAAAAAAACAAGTAAAAAAATCCATCAAATCAATCACCGGAATCAGAAACTTGGTCCTTTTCCTTGATCAGTTTCTTTATAGATTGAGAAAAAAAAAACATTGACAATGATAATTTGGCCATAACATTTAGTGAGATATAAAGATATTTGTTTTCCATAAATCCAAACACACAAAACAAACGCACACACTATTAACACACATGTCGCATTTAATTAATGATCTTGATCATCATCATCATCTGAAAGACGCCATACAGAGTCTGTAAAGAATAAAATGAAAACAAACACCAAAAAAATATACACCTGTTTGCGCCAAACATCCATTTTTGGCTCCACAAAGACGTAGACAATGTAGTTGTAGTATTCAAAAAAAAAAAAAAAAGAAAAAGTCAAAACCAAAACCAAAAAAGAAAAGGGAAAACATTAAATCAATTAAAACCGGTTAG